CAGCCGCGCTGGAGCCGAGCCGGCAGCGGGGGCGCGGGTGCAGTGGCAGCAGCTCCTTTGGGATAGGCCGGCCTCGAAACTGAGGGGTTTTAAACTCCTGCAAAGCCTCCTGTTGGCGGGGGCAAGGCCAGGCTGGGCGGCCCTGCAGCGGCGTCCGGGCGGGCCCGTGTCCCGCTAGGGGAGTGCCGGGCTCGGAGGGTTACTCCCCGCTTCCCTCTGCTGAGAGGGGCGTTAAGTCTTCCCCCAGGACTGGGACTCTGGGCTGTGCCAGCGCTCCTGCGGGACCTGCGGCTTCTGGCTGCGGGGGCTTGTCCCTCTGCTCTGGGGCAGATCGCCAGATGTGGGGTCAGTTTCACTCAGGGTCAGGCTGGTGAGAGTAAGGTCTCCTTAGTGGGGGCTGTGGTGTGCCCTGTTGGTGTCCGTTGTCAATATTTTGGGGAAGCAGGACCCTGGCTGCCCTGCTTCACCTGTGGCAGGTTGGGGTGTTAGGTCTGTGTTGTCATGGTTGAGGGTGGTCTTGTGACTGTAGATTACAGTTGTGTGGGAAGGCTTAGATACAGGTGATCCTACTAGATAAGAAACTGGTGGGTCGTGACCCAAAAGTGGCTTGCAAGAAAATACAAAAGGATTGGAACAAACTTTTAAAAATGAATCGACACACTTAAAAACTGGATTTTCCTTTTAATGGAAAAACATGGCTTTTCCCTTGCAGGCTGTCAGAGCCTGCAAAGGGCTGCTGGAGGCCCTCCATGCCCTACATCCACCCCCTGCCCCCTACACCCATTCCCATCCCCATACACTGGAGGGCAGGGGGCACTGGGTTTGGACTGGCCATCCATGTTTACAAGTGGGTCCTGGTACAGGAAAGGTTGAGAACCACTGGCCTAGACGGCCTCTGCAGGTCCCTGCCAGTCCTACGTGAGTCAGGGAGGTAAAATCAAGAATGGTTTTCAATAAGCGCACTTCACCTTTTTTTGTTTAATTTTTTTTTCTTTTCCTGTTTCATTTTGAGCCTTTACAGTTCATGTCTTCAAGCATGTCTCTAACTACGAACACAAGAAACTTTGTAATGAGTCTTCATGTAATAATATGAATACAAGAGCGGCTGGTGTAAATATAATACCAAGGTCTTCTCTAAACGCATAGTAGTATTGCTTTAGCTGTATTGGTGTAAAGCAGCACAATCCTGTCTTGATACAGATATAGCTATAAACACGCTTATATCATCTGCATAGCATGTTGCTGTTTAGGAAGAGGGAATAAGCTATATTGGGGTAGAGCAGTTCTATAACTGACTCTTAAAATCTTCTATAAAAATAGCTGTAGAAGAACAAAAACCATTTGTGGGCCAGGCTTCATGTTATGAGGCTCTCAATCAAATTTTGAGAGTTGGTAATACTGTTTTATGGTGATGGTTGCTGAGTGCTGGCTTAAATTTATGGTTGGATCTGGCCTAAGGATGTGGGGCGTTGGTAGTGTTCTGTGGTGGTGGGGGTTTGGCAGTGATTGCTCTCATCATGCCACCATGGAGAGAAAGTGGTGGCCACAAGAAAGCTACCAAGGAGAGAAGTGGCAGTGGATCCTAGTGCTGGCTCATGTTCCTACCTCTGCCCAGAGCTGGGTCATTCCAGTGAGAGTTGCGGGATGGCCAGTATCTCTGAATTAAAGGTTAGCTGTCTCAAGCGGGATGCCAAACGAGAAACACCCCAAGCTGATAGACTCTTACAGTTTTGGTGTAAGGGCTCACTTGGAGATTTTCATGCCATGTTTTTAGCTGTCATTGTACTAGGTAGAATCCATAGTCATGTATTAGTCTCTGTATACACTGCATGGGAATATTTAGGCACTCAGTAATGTGATTCACAGGTAGCTCTGCTTAGTGTGCTGGTTTAAAATAATTTATAGGGAATGCTGAAGAAAGAAAATGGGTTGACACTGGCACAGGATATAAAACTCAGGATTCTCTTGTCCAGGATGAGTACTCTGAGCTAGTATGAAAATGGCATGACTCCTCTTCTGGCTGTCTTCTTGGAGAAAAGACTGGCATGGACACCTAAAGCCAGGACAGGTTTAAGGGTGAGAATCCCCATGGGTTCGATAAATACAGCAATATATCCATCTGTTCCCTTTGCCCATGTAGGCAAGTGGCCTAATCACTAGGTGAGAAAGTTTTGCTTTCTTGATGTTGCAGCACAATGACAATTTAAGTTACCTTATGGAAAGTTCAGTTGCTTCAACAGGAAGGAGAACATGCTTTACCTATAGCCTTTTTAGTTGGAGCCTGGGAGTTGAGAGATGCAGGTTCACATCCCCTCGGGCACCAGAGTTTGTTTCCTCCCACTCCCATATTCTGGGTGAGGACTGTAGTCGTGGATGTATTGGATAAAATGAAATCACCACCAGCACCTCTTTCTCTTCCCTTGTTTTGCGTGGGATCCAGTCCAGTAGGTGCGCTCTGACAATGCTTTTCACTTCAGACCCAATAGGGGGCATAGAAGAATGTTAAGTGTAGATCTCTAAAGAGGTTAGGAACCTAGCTTGTCCATCACTGTCAAGACAGAGACAGTTCTGGGTTTATGCAGCAGCAAACATTTAGGTGTTTGGGGAACTATAGTGGTGCATACCCATGGGCCTGCAGGCTATGTTGCACTGAAGTGGGAGTTTGGAATTTTGCCTATATTCCAACTTGTGTGCCACTGCCTCTCTGGTTTGGAAGAATGAAGAACAGTATTGCTCAAGTGCTAAAATAATCTTGAGGCAAGTTTCCTCAAAATCTTTAAAGTGGTAGACTTCAAGTTTCTTTCATTTGAGATGTGTATTACAGAACTACTGTAAAAAAAAAAATTGAATTGTGCAAGCATGATTAAAAAAATAAATAAAGTGTGTGTGTGTGTGTGTATGTATGTATGTATGTATGTGTATATATATATGCTTACATAACAAATTTTTTTCCAGTAGTTCTCTGTCCCTCCCTTTTTCAAGTGACTTATGAGGTTCTCATTTATTCCTGTAATTCTAGATGTACCAAACATTACAAGACATGATGATAAAACAGCGATGACACCACTTTCTGGAAGATGCTAGATTTTTCACGCTTCTTTTCTGCAGTTTAGCTTCTTGCTGATCTTTATCCTAGTAGGACAGCGTTTCAGAAACCTGCTTGCTTGTATTCATCATAAAATACTTCTTTAAGAAGTTTCCAATTTATAAATGTATGGGAAGTGGATCATGGCTCTGCTCTAGCCCTGTGGTGTCACTGCCCTGTGCTCCCAACCTTGCCCACTGCTCTAGGGAGACTGTGGTGTCCCCAGTGATGGGTGCAGGGCAAACTAGCTCAGGCCAGATGGGATCAGCTGCCCCTCCCCCCAGCCTGCAGTAGTTCACTAAAATTCCTAAAGTGGCCCTCCCTCCAAAATAACCTCTCACCCCTGTTCTATATCATTCTTGAAGTATGGGGACCAAAACTGGGCACAGTATTCAAGGTGTGGGTGCACCATGGATTTGTAAAAGGGCATAATGATCTTTCTCTTTTGTTTACCATTTCCTTTCCTTTACTACAATTTAATAATTCCCAACACTTTGTTTGTCTTTGGTGTTGAGCACTGAGCTGATACTTTTAGCAAACTGTCCACAATGACTCCAGCTCTGTTTCCTGCATGGTGATGGCTAATGCAGAGCCTATTATGCTTCAGGTATGGTAGGTATTGTTTCATGTGCAATGCTACTCATCTGTGTTGAATTTTATCTGTCGTTTAGTTGTTGTCCATTTGTTAAAAAGAACAGGATCCTTCTGTAGTTCCTCCTTCTGTGGGCCAGTGCATGCTACATGCAGCATATGGGCTGGATCTAGAGCTGTTGATGCTTCATGCAGCACAGGGTATCAGTCCCATTTGGCCCACAGACCAGCCCAGTGACCTTCCAGTCTATTGGATTGGATGAGTTTGACACCCCTGATCAGTTGTATGGTATTCTATATGTAGAAGCCGAACGTTGGCTGCGGTGGTTCTCCTGCTTTACCTGTGTCAGGTTAGGGTGTTAGGTTGGTGTTGTTTCAGGGTTGATGGTAGTCTTATGATGATGTAGTGCTGGGGTCAGCAACCCCCGGCACGTGTGCTGAGCATTGCACGCAAGGCTGTTTTGCTTGGCACACCACCGCTACCCTGGGGTCTAAGCAGCTGCTGCCAGCCATGGAGCCTAGGCTGCTCTCAGCAGGTGGCTGGGAAGCTGCAAGCCCTACTGCAAGCAGACCGGGCTCCGTGGACTGGCTGCAAACAGTTGCTCTGGGCTCCGACATGTCGGCACTCCAGCACCTTCCAAGGTGGACATTGTGGGTCTTTTGGCACTCTGGCCAAAAAACGTTGCCTACACCTGATGTAGTGGCTAAAAATAACCGTTCACCACCAGCACAGTGCAGTGTAGGGTCTGTTATTTAGTATTTCCAAAAGGTTTCAACTGCTACGTACCAGGAAAACCGAGTCAGATTGTTGTGGTATTCACACACAAACAGCTGTGATTTGTGGACTGACCAAAAAAGAAACATTATATAGAAGGGAAACTGAAAGCAAATAGATGCATAGGCTTTGAAATAAAGGAATGTGGTCTTAATTTTTTTTTTAGTTATAATGCAAATTATTAATAATCAGAGGAAAAAAGCTTGGGATTCACTTTAATTTGACAATGTCTCTATTCTTCCCTCATTTTATGTTCTACAAAGCAAAATGTTGGTGGGTATGTCCTTGTGTAATGCAGTTACTTTTCTAAAATTCATAACCTCATCAATGTATTTTGTTCTTTT